TTAATTGATGGACATTATATCTTAAACACAGGGAGATAAATTGACTAATTATTATTGGAGCCTCGAATATAATTAGGGAATTAAATTGGGAGTTTATTCAATAATATTACTTTACTGGAATGGATGTATTATTCCTATTTGGGATTAGGAAGAAGATGAGATGGACGATATTGAGAGAAGAACACGGCATTCACGCCGCTTCCCCCTTCTCTTCTCTCTCTTGTGTTCACTTCTTCTGCCAAGCTACTCTCCCTCATGCTATATCATCTTACCAGCTTATCCTGCCGAGCTTATGACCCCAGGACATCGAGAAGGTCGGCCGAACTCATCCCTCTAATCTGATCTTACCGAACCGCGTTGCTATGCTACATCAACGTGCATTACACGTGTACTTTATTAGTTATATAAAGTGATAAAATTACATTGTTAGTGCATCAACATTCCACAATTAATAAGCCATTTAAATGCAATCATTCGTTTGATTGGTGTTTTATGGTGGGACTATGACATTCATTTAATCTATTGAATGCCATTCAATGACTTTTTTATTACATAAATAATATTATGTTAATATTTTATTAGACATAAAATATAAATTATATTAAACAAGTGATATAATGGGGTCCACCCAATTGCATTTAAATGTATGAACCAACCTCTAACGTGCGTTAATTAGTGTTTAAATGAGTAGTAAATTTTAATGAGTAATTTTTAGTGAAATGATAATGTGTAAATAAAGTGAATAAAATAGAAAATGCTTCTGTGTTTAAATAAACTAGTATTCGATCCTGTACATTTGCACAGTGTAAATAGAATATTATAAGTTACATGTATGCATATAGTATTAAAATTATAAGTTATACAATGATATTATATTTTAAACATAGAGTATTGTAAGTTATATTTATGTATATAATAATAAAAATATAAATTAGATAATAATATTATATTTTAAAATTTGATCATTGGTTAAAATAAATAGTACATAACTATTTGATTGCATATGAACCACTATATTAATTACATAAAATATAATAAATAATGTAATTTTGTGAGATCGCAAATTTATTAGTTTGAAATATTAAACTTATTATAATATTTGATTATGGATTTTAAGAAATTTTACTATAGCATTAAAATAAATTAACTTATTTAAAAATACATTCGCTAAATAAGATACTATAAATATTATATTAATTTTAGAATAAATAACTTTAGCAAAAAGTTTACAATAATTTTTTATATTTATATAACATTCATATATCATTTAGTGTACACTATAGTTATTAGTTTTAATAATAACAATTATATGATATAATAAGATAGTATGATTATTACTCCGTTAATATAAAATGTAACGGTTTTTGTCTCAATTAACCCTAAAAAAAGTGCAATGAAATATTTTAGCATTAATTAGATATGGTGGATTAAAAAGATGGTAACAATAATTAATATTATTAAATTTATTGTTAGTAATTAAATATAGAGAGAGATATAAATGATAAAGTTTGTAACGGTTTTTGGAGAGAAATCGAAATGAGGTTTTATTAAAGGTTTTATTAAATGCTATTAGCCAGCAACTAGAATTAATCCTGTGCATTTGCACAGGTTATCAAAAATAAATTGATAAATAAATATTATACATAAAAATATTAATTAAAATAAAATTTATTAATATTATGTATCACATTTATAATTGAATATTACATCAATGACTCTAAGTTGGATTTTTAAAATTAAAAAATAAAACAATATAAATGTAGATTTACCATACATTAATGACTATTATTAAATGAATATAATGAATCATCTAATTTTTATACCGCTTGAGTATTATATTAATAAAAAAACATAAAATTATAAACAAAGTAAAAAAATTTAAAATGGACAACACAAATATTATATACCATATAAATTGATATTTTTAGAGAATTATTGTACAAATGAAATACATAATATATTTATATAATAAAATACATGTACGTGTAGATTATTTCATCTAATAAGTTTCCACTTATAAGCAAATACTTTTATGGTATTATTTCATTATAAAAATATGTGGTCATTACTAAATATCACAATCGCTTATTACACATTAATTAGAATGATTTTTTTTCACAAATATGAAGGTAAAATAAAGAACCATTGCATCTCAATAGAATAATGTATAAAATATATCTATGTTACAACAATTAAAAAATTTAATTTTGAATAATAATTGAAAAAAAAAAACATATGTTAATTAAACTAACATTACTTTACATTATTAAAATGACTGTAGAAAAAAATAGGTAGGATTTTTTATGAATTAATAATGGAATTCCTACAAATGAAAGCACAAAATAATAGATATGATTATGATTTATTTTTATAAATTTATTTCTAAGGCAAATTCAAATTTATGTATTGCTTTACTTCTAATAATTCCTTAAAAATCAAATTTAATGTACTAATTACCAAAAGAAAGGATATATTATTGTAATGGTTACATAAAATATGTAATATTACTTATCAAATTAACAAATAGTGTAATTATACTAATTTTTAAGACAACCATTACAACTTTATTAAATATAAACTAAAATATTAATAACAAATCAATAGATGTAACCACAAATAAAATAGAACTTGAAACATACTATAAATAGCTCAAAAATATTGGCGGGAAAAAGTAGGCTATTGCATTAATGTAATAGCCTACAATTATATAGAGTTAGGATCACATGAGAATGGTAGATAGTGAAAAAAATGAGAATAAATCTGGATCATTGGATACATCATAGCAATGGTGATGATTAAGTCAAATTCTGGTCAATCATTAAATGGCAATCAAGTAATTATTTAATCATAGTGCGGTCAAATAGGTACATTTGACCAATAATTTGGGATAAGTTGGTCAACACACATACATTTATGTGGGACCCACTCACCAATTAAATATGGACTTTCTCTTTCATCACCTTCCTCTTTATCCCAATCGATTTTAGATCTCTGCAACACACACACACACACAAGAGAACAGCCCGCCTATGGCCCCGCCGTACCTCCGCCGTGACTCCACCGCCAGCCGCCAACTTTGACGCAAGAGATTCCAGCCGTACATCCGCCGCCCACCGCCGATCGCGACACAGGAGACGTCGCCCATTCCTTCGTCGTGCCTAGGCAACCAATCTTGTCGGCGTCCTCCCGCCGACATCCTCAGATCCGGTCGCCGTTAGTCGTTCGCCTCATCGAGATCATATGCGGCGGCGCCGCTCTCGCATCGTCGTCCACAGAAGGCGGAGCAGAGGCGTTTTTAGGGTTATGCGAATTGTGGCTGATCTCGGACCACACCACGGCAGCGGGGATGGCGGCGTTAAGGGCGGATTGACTGCGAATCTGGCGGTTGATTGTTGTCGGCGGCGAATTGTGTTTGAAAAAGGAGTGATTGAATGGTGTTTTGGGGATTTGGTCTTGTTTTGGACAAAAAATTCGAATGGCAGTGGTGGCTTCATTTTCGTAGTCGGCGGTGGGTGGTGATGTGGCCGTGGACTGACGACCGTCGGCCCGTCGGAGGAGGTTGTCGCCGGCGGGAGAGTGGGGAGGGAGGCGGTTGGGTGTGTGTAGAATTGGGTTTGTTTTTTGAGAATTTGATAGGTAGAAGGATTCAATAGCAATTTTATACACTTTGATAAATTACAATTGAGTTCAAAGCTCAAATATGTAATTAATTAAAATATGATTATTATTTTATCATTTATTTTAATATCTTAAATTTTTTATTTTTATTATATTTTAATAGGTATGGCAGCCTTGTAATTTATTAAAAGTCCCATAAGTGCACATTATAATACAAAAAAGTGCACAGTAGTGTATGTTAAAATGCACATTATAATAAAAAATAATGCACAATAAAAATTACATCGTAACTTAATTAAAATATACATTTTACAATGCTTACCGTTCAGTTGGTTTTGTTGTTTCCGTCGTTTTAAATAATAATGTCGACATATAATCTAAATATTTAAATTTTTAAAAGTACAAAAATCGATAATTAAATTGAAATATAAAAAATCTGAATCGAGAAAATTTTAGTTCGATTGTTCTCGGTCACTAACGTGCAATATGATATACGTTAATGTGCAACTTGTCTAACACGATTGTGCACTTTCTCTATTGCTTTTGTGCAACGTGAATTAAAATTAATATTCATTATGTGGTGCATTTTACCGGTTAATATTACATTTAATATTTTAATAATTTATTTTAATAAGTTTATATTATTTTTTTTTTTTTGTTGAAAAAACATAATATATGAAATCCTAAATCTCATATTGTGCATTCATACTTAAAATAATGTGCATTTAGTCTAACATTATTGTGCATCATATTGTGCGTGTATTTTTTTAATGCGTTAAAAATTTATAAATAAATAATAATGCGTATTTTTAATCAACATGATCATGCAATTAATAAATTATTAATATATTAAAATATTATTATCATTTATAATTTTTTATTTAATATTTCTATAATATTGCTTGTTGAAAATAATTAAGATACATATAAGTTGGTCGTTTTTTTTTAATACTTTCATGTGCATTTGATCTGACAATATTGTGCAGTATGTCTTTCATTAATGTGCGTCTTGTTTGGCAATATTGTGTAATATGATAGCTACTAATGTGATATATTTAGTATTTTTATATTTTTTATTTAATTATTATATTATTTCAACACAAATTATATATATGTGTATAAAAACAGATATGAAAATAATATATTTTATACTTTTTAAAAATTACAAATTTGACCCAATGTATTCAATTGAAATATAACCAAAATTTCTTAAATTACATCTAGGTCCTTCTATCCCATCTAATTCTCAAAATCAAGCCACAAAATTTGAAGTTGGTGCAGCACTTCCCTCATGACAGCGGGCGGCGGAGGATGTCAGGGATGAGACGCCGTTGGCGATCGGACGGTCGGATGGCGGAACGGGGCGGCGACGGCAGCGGAGGATGAATGTCGCGACCAAGACGACGGAGATAGCTGGACGACTGCGACCTCTCGGGGTGGATGAACGAGACGACAGATATATTGCGGCCGTCGGAGAGGCAGGAAGTCGTCATTTGCAGTCGCCGGAGATGCGGACGCCTTTGGTTGCGGCCACCGGAGCCGCAGAAGCCGTCGGTGATGGTGCCTTCTTGCAATGGTCGACAGTGAGCTGGAGAGAGCGGGCGGAGGGAGATGGCGGCGGCGGAGAGACGGTCGCGACGGCGGACGGGGAGATGGCGGACTGACGGCGGTTTGCCATGACTGTGTGCGTGTGTGTGTTTTCGTCCATTTTTGTGTGTGTTGGTGTTAGAGAGAGAAAGTGTGTGGGGTAGGTGGAGTGGGGTGGGGTAACTGATTGATAGGGTAGCTTATTTTTTTTTTAATTGATTGGTGTAGTTGGCAGTGCACACCGTGATTTAATATGTAGTGGGGCCCAACTATTTATGTGATGTGTACTAAATTACTACAATACCCTTAATGGAGGTATAATTTCTTTCACTGAGCACCATTCTCACCGGAGCGTGACCCTATATATATATATAGATTATATATATATAGATGGTAGAATAGAACCTATTCATCAATTGCTTTTGATAATTACTAGTATGTAGCCCGTGCGATGCACGTGTAAATAATATTAAATAATAATTATGAATTAACGATGACAGTAAATAATATTAATTAATAATTATAAATTAAATATGAGGATAAACAATATTAATTAATAATTGTAATTAAGATGTGGAGATATTAACTAATAATTGTAATTAAGATGTAGAGTTAATATGTGATATAATTTATCGTATATCAGTTGTAAACAATATAAATTTATCTTGTATAAAATAATATAAAAAATGTATGTTAAAATATTAAAAACACCTTAAAATATTATATAGCGTATGTAAAGTATCTAAAATTTTATATATCATTATTGAAGATGTGAAGTCACCTAAAATCTTTCTAAACTATTTTATAAATAATACATGTCTAAAATTATGTTATTCAATTTCCAGAACATGATGATAAGTATAAGTTTGAATTTTAGAATCCACGTGAGTATTATTTTTTAGATCCGTGTACTATACAAATTATTCATTATGTTAATTTCCTGTGAACTTCATATTGATTTATTGATTTTATTTTATTTCTATACAAAGTTGACGTCTCATTTTATTTTACCATAGTTTTATGGAGATTTAACAAATTCGATTGCATTAATAAAAATAATTTGGATATCAACATACAATTTATAATGGAGTTTTCAAAATAATGTAATATTAACAAATGATATATTATCATTAAATATATTTTTTTAAATGCACAATTATTGAGACTGATAATTTGATAATTATTTTACCTTTTGAAACTGAGTATAGAAAAAACAATAGATTGGTAAACAAATAAGTGATAAACATTACCAAGTTTATTATCACACGTTCCAAATAAAAAAATTGTGATGATTAGTGAAAAGTGATATTTAACGAATAGCATTCAATATTTTTTTTGAAAGGCATAAATATAAAGACCGATATTCTAAAATTTTTATTACCTTTTCAATTGAGATTTTATAAATATAGAGACTGAGATATTAATGTTCTTCGTTGTTTATATGAGAAAATAAAATAAAAACTAAAAGTGCACACTTAATAGATCTTAGCTAGAATTTTTAAATAATAAAATGAATTAAAGCAAAAAAATTTAATGCAACATTAAATGTTGTATGAATTTTCAAAGATAAAAATAAAAAAATAATAAAACTTACTATTTATAGGTTGCATTAAATTCTCTCCTATTTTTTTGCTACTATTTTTGTTAAATGATAATTCTTATTATATATGTATAGATGAGTAGACCAACTAAATTTATTAAAACTTTTTATTTCAATAATACTTTTACTTAGGTCTCGTTAGACAATACACCATGAACAATACAACAGTCCACGATTACCCACATGATTGAACCAATTAGACTCCAAATCAATTTCCCCGTCAAAAGAAAAAAAAAATACATAACTCCATTTATTTATGTCTCTTAATTCACAACCCTACAACTCTTTCTAACCTCCCCATTCTCCACCACCCCAACGTTCCCAAGTCTCACCATTGATTCACCAAAGTCCTTGAAAAACAAATCTTGGTCCCACGCGTACGCTTCCACAATGGGCACCGTCCTATGATCCGACTTCAAAGACTCATCCGAAACAAACACCCCTTTCCCTTCTAAAATCATCCGATAATAATCATTGTCGAAAACTGAAGAAGTCGAGTCCAAGAACTGGCCTGCATTGCGATCCGTATTGTTCCTCCGGCACGTGTGCTTCAGCCCATCAGCAAACTGCGGGTCAAGGGTCGGGTCGGAGTCATGGGCCGTGCTGAAGTTTCGGAGGCGGGCCGAGAAAGAAGAGCAGTGGGCAAAGCCCAGAGTGTGGCCTCCGGATAGGGCCACCAAGTCCTTTGGCGAGAGGCCTCGTTTGGCGAAGCTCTGGATGAGTTGGGAAGTGTTGAAGAATGGGGACGGGAGATTTACCGTCTCGTTTGCTCGTGATATTATGCCGTCTTTTCGCCCTTTGAGCACTGCCCACTTGGGTCCCCTCGACTATAAACACAAAAAATAATGCATGACGTTGGCAGGATTTTAAAAATGGTCCACTATGTTGGTCATTTTAAGAAAAAGGTCCATCATATAGAGTGTCATCAAGAATGATCCATTAAGTTGTCACTTTAATGAACATTCGTACAAAAACCAAGATAGCGTACTAAAGGTGATCATTTTTAGTTACCAATTTTAGTACACTATTTTGACTATTGTACGAGTATTAACTAAAGTGACAACTTAGTGGACCATTCTTGATGAAACTCTATATGATGGACCTTTTTCGAAAAATAGCCAATACTAAAAGTGAAATTTAGCTGCATGAAATTGGATGAATTTAATTACAATCTTATTTACTGTCGACCTTCCAATTAAAATAGATAATTATGTAGGAAATACGGTATTGATTAATTACCATATGCACGACGTCTCTTGCGGCAATTGCTAGTATATCAGCGCACGAGACAGTACTCGGGCAAGACTCTTCGAGCTTTGTTTTAGCATTATCAATCACGTAAAATGCGGCCAGTGAGATGTTTGGAGGTCCATCTTTCTCGGCAGTGTTCGTGGGAGTCGAGTCCAGCAGTACCGACGCGTCACATCCCTAAAAAATATAATTAGTGGACAATTCAGTATATTATAATAGGACATGTTAATTCCGTGTTAAGACTACGAATAGGTAAAATTCATGCAAAACATTTTACCTAACAATAGTACTATCTATAGCTCATTGATTGAGGTTATGTTGCAATTTGTAACAATAAACAAATGTAAATATGCATGCATGTATTTTTAATAAATTTGAGTAAAATTCAAAGTGGAGCATCTAAAATTGAATAATAATTAATGAACAGATAGATTATATGTACGTACCCTAATGAAACAATCATGAAAGAACATTCTGAGGAGTCGGGCGGGGACTCTAGGATCATTAGTGATAGCATCTTCAACAACTTGGCTTATGATACTTTCGGCCTGAGGGCATGTTTGGTCGTAATAATGTGAATCAAGAATAGCTCCCGACTGACAAACCGCGACTAAAATCAAAACAATAAAAGAACAAAACATTCGGAGAGCCATAACGAACGCAATTTTATGTGTAGACTAATTGTATCGATTATATGGTAGTTAGATTTCAAGAGATGAGGAATACATTGCCATTGAAACTTGTGGTACTTATAGTCCTCAGTTGAAGCAATAAAATTAGTGTAAGAATTGTAGTTAGATGCATGGGGTTTCATTTGTAACACTTTTAAGCCACTCAATGGTGGAAAACGAAAATGTATAGTATAGGCTTGAAAATGGGATATAGATTGTTGTGCTTTAGGACCACGTATTGACAATTTTCTAATGTCTTATATCCTACCCTACAGTGATAAGTTAACAGAAAAGGTTTTTCTATCTTCTAAATTTGCTGTCTTGTAATTAAAATCAAGGATTGAATTCACACACGTACACAAGCACATTTTAGTTATTAATTAGAATTGGTTGCAAAGAGTACTAACGTTATAATCATAAAGTAAAATTAAATCAGTTGTAGGGAGGACGGATTAATGTAGTTGCAAAATTAATAAATTTAAATATAATTTCGACGTAGTGAGCCCATGAAATTTTGTCTCTTTAATTTGTTTTCTTATTCTATTTTAGATTTATGCGCAACAATATTGAGTAAATATTGATGATCACCTGTGTACAGGCTCCTTAATTTGTGGGTTTTGGTAGCACTTCATATTCATGCCAAATCAACTAATTTAGGCAATGGAGAGGTTCACTTGAGGAGCACACAAGTAATACATACGCGCCATTGTACTACTGCTATGCCTGTTTTATTTTCAATACCCGTGTACTACACGTGTACTTAAATATATTACTATTTATACAATAAAAATTAAAAAAATTACATTTTTATTGTGAAAATTATGTGTGGCAAGTATGCAACAATAATAAATAACTAACAAGGTGATAATCTATTAATATATAAAGAGTAGACCGTTTAGCCCGAAAAAAATAGAATTAGGGCCTTTTATTGGCAGCCCGTTTAAATCCGAACTTTTGGACCGTTTAGCCTGATATCCATTAGGGCTAGTCCAAAAAACGCTAGGGTTAGCCCGTTTAATTTGGATTGGTTAGTTTATATGTTTTTAGAAAGGTAAGGAATATGTCTCATGATTCTTTATATATTATAATTTTGCTATTCTACTTCACATGTAATTATGTGTTATAATGTATTATTATTATTTTGATAGATAATTATTAACAAATTTTATTATATAGTAAATCAGAACGGCTAATAAAAAACAAATGAGACAAAGACCTAACACATAGAATATAGTGATAGAATATAAATTCAGCAGTATGCTATATTGTGAAAATTCCTGAAGCGTACCAAATTACTAGTCAAATGGCAGTTATAAGTAATAGTTCGAACATTTTTTTTTTCTGTTGAGAAACAATATGTCATTTAAGAGTTTGTAATGTGTGTTCATATATGAAGTTTAATTGTATATATATAGTGGTAATAGTAAATAGTCGTTGAAAAAACCGTTAACTAGGTGTTGTAATTTATTATTATTATTATTATTATTATAGCCCGTAGCCCGAAGCCCGCTAGGTTTAGGGTTAGGTCCTTTTATTGGTAGCCCGTTTAAATCCTGGTTTTTTAGGTTCGGACCTTTTAGCCCGAATCCCGCTAGAACTAGCCCGTTCAACATCTCTAATAAAGAGGCAATGATATTTACTTGAAATAGCAACTAAAAATCAGCAAAAAAAATATTTGGTTTCGCGCCTAAATTATTTACTATATTGAGTAATATTTTTTACGAAAATTTAAAAAATACCGCCTAAATTAATGTACAGAATCATTTTGGTCAAATATTGCGGCTATTACCTTTATTAGTTGCATGATTTAAATTTAGAATATAATATATTGACCAAACTTGCAGCTATTACCTTTATTAGTTGCATGGTTTAAATTTGGTATATAACATATTGAAAAAAATAAAAAGGCTTTTATTTAAATTTAAAAATAAAATATAATTATTCATAACTTACGGATCAATATTAACTTGGACGTAAACGACATAGTCAATTATTTATAGTTTAATAAATTACTCAACTACTTAAGTTTTTTTTATTTGAATAGTTTATACATTAATAAATTATATTAAGTAATGAAACAATATAAATTTTGTAATTTATACTTATTATTCACATAGGTTATTAAATATATGATAACATTTTATTAAAATAACTATTTTATGGAATCACACATAATCAAATTGATTTTCTGAATAAAAATTTTGAAATGATATTTATTTTGAAACGAATATAATGTAATTTATTATCAGTTATGTGCACCGCACGGGTTGTATACTAATTTTAGATATTTATTTTTTTGTAATTTTCGCACAATTTAAACCTTATATAACATTTTTAATAAATTAATATAGGAAAATTGTATTACATATTGATTCCATATTTTAAATTTATAAATATTATTTAATATGAATTTTTAATTTATAAATATTAATGAATATCTCTTACCCGTGCAATGCACGGGACTCATACTAGTTAATTCAAATGGTGCCAGTATTTTTACACTAAATTTTCCAAAAAAGATATTTTTAATTATATGTTTAAAATTGTACATGTATATATTTGATATTATTTACAACTTCATATATTTGATTAATTTTTTTAAACAAAACGAATTTATTGTATTGTGATTATATTTCTATTTATAAATTTAGTGTCTCACGTTTATTAACTTTTCAAGTATTTTAAATTTTTTTAATTAATAATTTAGAATTTACGTTAAAATGTATTATTTTCTAACTTTATGAAATACAAATTTTTTACTGTATTTAATTATGATATTATTTTATCTTTACTATTTTAAATAACATAGTAATATTCGGTTTTTAATTAATCTATTTAAATTGATAAATAATATTTTATGACCTTTCCTAAAATTTAATTTATGTAATTTGATTCAAAAGTTGTGGAAAAAATAATAAAATGATTATTTTATGGTATATTTTATTATTTTTATAAAATAATTTATATTGTTAGAAGATGTTTTTTAAATTAAGTTGATAATATAAATGATTTTACATTGTTATAAGATGTTTTTTAAATTAAGTTGATATATATTCCGCTGGTCTCCACAATAGAGTTGTAGTCTCCGTTTTGGAGTACTCGTGTCTCTATTTTGAAGTTTTGTGTTGCGGTTGATTTGTACCCTCTTGGTTGTCTGTGTAATTCTAGGGTGTGGATCCAACCTTTTTGCCGGTTCTTGTCATGTCGTTGACACCTCGGGTGTACTTGTTTAGAGTTTTTTATTTTTAATATATTTATCGTTTCGAGAAAAAAAAATACTAATTATGAACAAATGCATAGGCTCGCTCTCACAACTCACATATCTGAGGGATGCACTTGGCAATCGGCAATATCCAGCTAAAGCTGCAGCCAGGGACTGCGTCTGGGCTGCTGTGGTTTATTGTTGGAGTTATTTTTCTCTAGACAACAAATAAATTAATTTTGTTTCTATTTTGTCGTGCTTGCTTTTATTCTGACATACAGAGAATATAATAAAATAATTAAAAAGTTATTCGAAATATGTCAATTAATTATTCTAGCAATAGATATTTTGACATGAAAAATGTTATACGTACATAATAAATGTACATAAAGGTGTACATAACACTCAAATGGAGTGGGGTCCACTTGATTTTTTATTTTTGGTCGGTCTCACCAATGTGAGTGATATGTATGCCCCTATGTATAATATTATGTACCTACAGCATTTCTCGACATGACATTACAATATGAGACTCTAATTGGACAGGACCTATCATACTTTGTTAACAAAAATGTATATTTTAACAGGTAAATGTTATATTTTTGTTTATGTTATTTTTAAAATTATAATTTTTTTGATAAAATATAAAAATTTGCGAAAAATATATCGACGAGTAGACCGACCTCAAAGAGATGTGGATTAAAAATCTGGATTGCTAAATACCACCCCCTTTTACTACCGACCGCCCCCAGAAAAGACATAAATGCCCTTTAGCATATATAAAAAAGAAAAAAAAAAGAAAAAGAAAAAACAACCAAAAATCACTTTCTCCCCCTCTAAAAAACTCAATTTTGATCCAAATCAAATTGAAAAAAATCCGAAAAAATGGCGAAACGACCTACTCGCGGCGGCAAGGGCATGAGGATTCGACAGGTATTTCTTTTTTTTCTTTTGCGGCGGTCGGCGCCCGATTGCGGCCGCGTTTGGACCAGCCGCACGACGATTGCAGCCGCCTTTGGACTGGCCGCACGATGATCGCGGCCGGCGTTGACATGGCGTTTCCGGCCGGCGACGGCCAGTTTTTTTTTATTTTGAACTTTTTGTTTAAAAGAAGTTTAAATATATATATATATATATGCATGTATATATATATATATATATATATAGAGTTAGGATCACATGAGAATGGTAGATAGTGAAAGAAATAAGAATGATCACGGACCATTGGATCAATTATATCAATGAACATGATGAAGTCAAGATTTAATTATAATGGTCAAACCTGAGTGGCAAAATTGTGATTATATT